AAGCGCTTCTGGAAAGCCCAAAATCCACTCCGGAAGTCCTACGGATTCCGCCCACTTCCAGACTCCGCCCACTTCTTACTGTATCATTTGGAGCGAACGCGGACACGGAGAGCATCGAAAAAAGTTTATTTTTGCCATTTGCAAGAGCTAAAAAGCTTATATATGGCTTCAGCATGGCAGGAAGACTCCGAAAACGTAAGAAAGTTAAGAACGAAATTTTGAGGGGACACTACCTTTAACCCCAAATACGATCTCCAAAAAAGAAAAAAAATGCCGTTTCCGCAAAGTATACATGGCCGATTTGAGATACTGTATTGTTATTTCCTATCAATCAACGGGAAATTAAGAGATTTATCATAAAAAGTTGTGCATTCAAAATATGAATATGCATCCGATGTAGCGCATTAAGAGATATTCTGTAGAGATTGTGAATACCAACTAATGACCGTTTTTAGCCATATTAAGAGTGGAAAGACTAAGCTGTGCATAAGAAAATTTCAAAGGCTCTTTTACGCAATAGGGTCCAGGAATTCTAATAAGAAGGATTCCAAAATGGCAAAAAGCTGGACTTAACCATACCAACAAGGTAACAAAGAACAATTTTCGCACTTACTGATCTAAAAGAATGACTGACTTACTACACCATCTCCGTAGCCAGCGAGAAGTCGCTTTCCATCTGGGAGAATATGACCAGCAGTGCAAGGCGATCCGTTTCCAGCGTACACCTAACACTCAGCATTTTCATAATTCTAAAATGAGAAGGCTAATGAAAAAATATCTCACTTTAGACTGCGCTACACCAGAAGGACCAATCAGCCACATCCAAGCCGTACCGTCTTTATCACCGGCGAAAAGGATATCAGTGGTAGTATGCCAACACATCCATTCAAGATCGTTACAGTCATCAATCTGAAGCCCACATGTTGAAAATACATAAATATGATTGCCGTTTACTGCGTGTAGCGACTCGAATCCTAATCCAGCCAGAGCCGAAGCGTCAAATCATATGACTCGGTCACGGTAGAGAAATGCAACCCCAAACTTCTGCCCACTACCGTAATCTTTTCGGGCGCGCCAATCAAGCTACGGTATCTGGCGAGAGTTTGACCCTGCATTTT